AGGTCTGGAGGGCCGCACTGAAAATTGGTTATATTTCCTCACCATCAACATTTCCAAAAAATAGTCATCTATCCATTGTTTTTGGAATTTTCGATGCTCCCTGACTGTCTAGCGTTCATTTTGGTGATTATTAGCGAGTGGGACACAGTCAAGAAACTGTATGAATGTAGGTCCATTATCATTTCTACACAGTTTGGATTTGGTTTTAGTTGTTTTAAAGTATATTGAGTTGATATAGTCCTATTAAAAATATAGTATATACTCAAACCACCCATGGGCTGGATTGGACCCCGGATCTGGCCCACGGGCTGTATGTTTGACACACGTCTAGGAACTGAAAATATACAGTGTGGCTCCGTGAGGCAGTCATTGGTGGGCAAATATTATATCTGATGTGCTGGAAGCCAAGGAAATATAGTTGCCTTTGACTTTGTAGACAGCTGCAGATTGTACATTGTTGCACATCTTCAAAGAGTGCTATAGTGGGGGTGGAATCAAAGGTAGATAGCATATCAGGCTTGTGAAACACACTAGCAACACATAACAATATCAACCCCATAACGGCCCCATAAAAAGCCAGCGGTGTAAACAGATCGTTCAGCTTGGAGGAATGTGTTAATGAGACACACATGGAGCAGGTGTTGACGATCAACCACCTCTAAAGTACAAACAACCTAACAACAATGTGATCATCCCATCATACAATACTTTGGGCAACATTTTCTTGTGTCTCTTTGAGAGAGGAAATGTTGCCCTTTGTCTGATATCTGTACTGTAGCTTTTTGGTTGGAACACAAGGCCAAGGTCAAGGTTGTTGATGTCTAATGATGCAATTCTGTTATGGGAACCCAGGACGAACAATGCCGAAAGACAAACGTTAGCTGTACCCCATGTAATAGCCAGGTTATCGTTACTCACTGTGTATTTATTCGTTGTGTTATTATTATTTTTATATAATTTTTCTCTCTGCGTTGATGGGAGGGCCCGTAAGTAAGCATTTCACTGTTAGTCTACACCTGTTGTTTACGAAGCATGTGGCAAATAACATTTGACTTTATTTATTTAAAAATAACTCCCTGTCTTTGGCTTTGGTTGTGAACTCGATAAACTACGAAAAATGACGCTGGAGTTTGGGTTTTGACAGCTTAACAGTGAAGTGGTTTTGAGTAAGAAAAATAAAATAATAATATGCCATTTAGCAGACGCTTTTATCCAAAGCGACTTACAGTCATGTGTGCATACATTTTTACGTATGGGTGGTCCCGGGGATCAAACCCACTACCCTGGCGTTACAAGCGCCATGCTCTACCAATTGAGCTACAGAGGACCACAATTGAGCTTCTTCACACTAAGAAGAAGATGGAATTTGGATGGATGGAATTTGCCAAAAGGACACTTTAGAATTTCAGGCACAGTTTGGCACCAACTACACAGTTGAGTTTAATCGACTGCTTTCATTTTCCATCACAAGCAGCCTGAAGCTCTTGTAGTGGACATTTTGTCAACTTTGTTAACACAGACCAATAATTATTTAGACGTTGCAATATCCTTTTCAATCATCATTACCCTTATAATGAACTCCATGGTGACGCCAATATGACTCTAAATAGAAATGTCCTTATTTTTTTACCTTCGGTACCTAAATATACTTATGACATTGGTTTGTACCAAATGTTTTGTGAGTAAATCCTATTTGCGAGTTAATACCAATTCATTTCAGTTAATACAGCCTACTTACTCGTGTAGTAATTGTCTGACGATATCTCTTTGGCCACTGATGTCTGGATGCCAGATTTGGACCACATTGGTGGATGCCAGATTTGGACCACGTTGGCCAGGGTTGGACTGGACTCTATTAGTGTTAGTATGAGGTGTTGCTTAGTGTTTCTTCCAGTGCAGGGAGATGATCAGGCCTGTGTGTGGCTATTTTGGCCTTGACGATGAAAGATCTATGACTCTGACATTCCTCCGCCCCACGACGCTCTGCTCTTACCAGCTGTTCCCACGTCGACAACATGTGTTGTTTTGACTTCTGTCTTTGAAACTTCCTTGCAAAACAGGACCTTGAACAGAAAAAGCAGCCTGTGATAGCTCTTTGGCCATATGTCCTAGCCTCCCTCACTCTCTGAGCTCTGCAAACATCTTATTTTATATTTATTGACACTGATAAAGCTGTAATAACATCAGTATAATAATCAGTGTAATGAGCTGAAATAATATCAGTGTAATAACATCAGTGTAATAAGCTGTAATAATATATCTGTATCTTGTTCACTGATATCACTTGGTCCTTGGAAAATGCATACATATTTAGTTGTTAGGAGGATCATAAACCTAGATTATCTTCAATATGACTTAGATAATCTTTTTTTGAAGTTGTTGCCAATTTCTATACATAGTATTTGAGTATCGGTTTGCTAGTACAGAGTGTAATATTCTGGACAACCTTCACACAGTTGTGAGTTTCTTCTTGCTCCAGAAACATAGGTACTAAAGAACATTTGTGAAATTAGACATCTGACAAACATTTGAGTGAACTATCAATTTAAAGTGTTGTTCTATAGGGATTTCTGTGTTCTTTCTGTTGAAGTTGGATATGCTGTGGCGTAGTCGTATAGGCTGAACTACAGGTAATTCCATGGTCTCATAGGTTACCCAATAGCATGGTCTCTCTATGCCTAAACACTTCCATGGTCTCATAGGTTACCCAATAGCATGGTCTCTCTATGCCAAACACTTCCATGGTCTCATAGGTTACCCAATAGCATGGTCTCTCTATGCCTAAACACTTCCATGGTCTCATAGGTTACCCAATAGCATGGTCTCTCTATGCCTAAACACTTCCATGGTCTCATAGGTTACCCAATAGCATGGTCTCTCTATGCCTAAACACTTCCATGGTCTCATAGGTTACCCAATAGCATGGTCTCTCTATGCCTAAACACTTCCATGGTCTCATAGGTTACCCAATAGCATGGTCTCTCTATGCCTAAACACTTCCATGGTCTCATAGGTTACCCAATAGCATGGTCTCTCTATGCCTAAACACTTCCATGGTCTCATAGGTTACCCAATAGCATGGTCTCTCTATGCCTAAACACTTCCATGGTCTCATAGGTTACCCAATAGCATGGTCTCTCTATGCCTAAACACTTCCATGGTCTCATAGGTTACCCAATAGCATGGTCTCTCTATGCCTAAACACTTCCATGGTCTCATAGGTTACCCAATAGCATGGTCTCTCTATGCCTAAACACTTCCATGTGTCCATTGGCTTACCTGTCCTCTGCGATGGAATGGGCGGGGTCATCATGCAATTGCAGCCTGCCATGCCTAGACAAAGACATGCTCTTATCAATACCATGGAAATAGAAAAAAGACATAACCTGCCCATATTCTTGATGCATCTCACATTTCAGTATAGTCTACCAAAGTCCATTTAAGTATCAATATTTGTGATCATTTAAATGAAAAAAGCCAGCTCTATGTCTATTTACCTACAAGCGCTACAAGCTGTTTTATAGTATGGTCTTTATAGCACACAGAATAAACATGAATTAGCTGAATTTGGTTTGGCAATCAATTAAGTGAACTGTTTCAGAACCCCTGAACAATTACCAAGCAGGAATGCAGTGGAAAGAAGTAGAACAAGCACAAGCTGCTTAGCTGTTAGCACAATGCAGTAAACGGCCAAACATCGCTCATCTCTTTCTGTGTACTGTTATACATCTCCCGTTCTGGTTGAAAAACTTTGTTAAACAAAACCGTGTTACTGGGGGGCTTTCAGGCAACAATTTCATTCTGTCTTCTAAAGTTATCCATATTATTTCCAGATGAAATTCACTGGCTGATACTAGAATTAACCCACCTAATCATGTGAAATGAATTGCTGTTACAATTTGGGAGAGCAAATCTGTCTCGAGAGAAAGTAGTTTTTCATGTGACCTGTTGTGGCTTGTTTATTTGTTATTTTTCAACAAAGTTTTAATAATAATAAGAAAAATTATATATGCAACTTAGGCCAAAATAGCCACACACAGGCCTGATCATCTCCCTGCACTGGAAGAAACACTAAGCAACACCTCATACTAACACTAATAGAGTCCAGTCCAACCCTGGCCAACGTGGTCCAAAGTGACTTACAGTACAGTAAATTGATACAAGTGTTTGTAATCCTCCCCATATACATTTTCTGTGAATGTGACCTTGAGTCTTTCCCCCCCCATTTCTATTATGTTAGAGATCCCCACACTGTAGTATATACTGTAGTAACATTGCTCCTTGTTAAATATTTACTTAAAGCACCAGTGATATCTGTAAAGCACGTGTTTGATCAGAAACAATACTACAGTAGCACTACTATGCAAACAATGACACAAGACTCCCCTATGTCATTTGGAAAATCAGACCATTGCATTTACCAATCCATGCTCAGCATTACCAGCCTTTTAACCCTTCATTACTCATATTTATTTATTTACTCATTCATTTACTAAATTCTCCAAATTAAAATCACTTTTTTTTTTGACCTCAGTATGTTAGTTAGCAAACCAGCAGCCATTCATGGGAAAGGCAATTGAGCAGTTGAAGTATAGTAAGAGGAGAGTTGACTTACCTGATCCAGTGTTGAGAGTGAGGCAGCAGCTTAGCCTGGCAGTAGAGTGCAGAGTGGAGTGGTCGGTCGTTCCCCAGGTCCTTGCCCTCCTCCTGCTCTGCTCAGCTCAGCTCAGCTCTCAGAGATGAAGCTGTCCTTTTGTCCTACGAGCTGTGCTGGTTTTCTGCTCTCCTTCTATGTTACCAGCCCTGATTAACTAATGGCTGACAGATAAGGCTGCCTGGCTGGGGAGAGGGAGGAGCACGCCGCCATATAATGTATTCTCCCCACTGGTAAACAGGCAGCATATACAGTTCAGCCGAGGAGCACTGCCCGTATGGCTGTGGTTTCCTTTCTTCCTCCTGCTCTTTTTTCTTTTTCTATTTTTTTCTTCTTCTTTTACAGCAGTAAGGAGGGGCTAACACCCTCCTCTATCCCCCCTACTGTACATGTTTGCCTGTCTCTGTTCCTGTCTGAAGTGGAGGGAGCAGTGTTATCATTTTTGAGTGAGCGTGCAGCGGATATAAGAAAATGATGTGTTTAGGATCAGTCGGTCGACGCAGGGCAGCTTTGATGTCTCCTAGTCAGCTTAGCTGAGCCCTGTGTTCAAAATGCCTTTGTAATTACAATGTGTATAATATACTGTATCTGTGCGCAGTGTCAACTCAAGCACTGCCCTCACCACGGTAAAGAAGAGAAGATAGCAGGAGGTGCCTCTCTGTTTGAATGGTTCAAATGGGTACTCTAGCAGAGTGAACTCACCAAGTGTTGCACAAACATGTGTCTCTCTGAGTGCTTGAATGCTTCTCCTCCATTAATGGAAAAAGTCATCTTCTTCAGATCTTATGCCCACAACTCCTGTTGTCCAAACCTAAAAAAGGACCAGCTTTTGTTAGAATTCAATACAGTATGTCTATATGTCTCAATAAATCTTCCTGAAATAGTTCCATCACAGCACAGTCAGTCCAATAGTGTACTATCTATGGCCACCACAAGTTTACCATGAGGACTGATGCAGAAAAAATGCATGGTGTTTGGTTTGGTGTTATGCAACATTCTGAGATCATAATTAAGGGACAATGCAATATTATGTTTATTATCTGGGCTGGAAAATATGCTAAGACAAAACAGAGTTCTCCACGTCTTGTTGTACTTTATTCCAATACCCCATTTTGGAGTGGCTTTGTGTAAGGGGGCTCACTCTCTCACTGAGAGCACAGCAGAAATAGCTGGCTCTCTAATTGCTGTCTGTCCTCATGAAGACGGAAGAGTCGAGAATATTTTCATCCACCGACCGACCTTCGTCTCAGGCATGGGGCTTTCTCAGACTCATTAGGGTCTCTCTGCTTTTTATTCGTTGTGTTCTTGTTTTCGCTGTAGCTTTCCTGAAGCATTGTACAGCTTATTGAAACCAGATGATTGTCTAGCCATATGTATGCATCCAGGTCTTTTAACTTTGTGAATCTTCTCTCTCCTGGGCTTGTGTCTCTCTCTCTCTCTAGTTTGTGCCATGCACAGGGTTTAGACGTTAAACAGGGGAGTGCATTCAAACTTGGGTGTTCAGTGGATGCTTTACAGAGATCCAGTTCATGATTAGTTTAGCCAAAAGTGGTTTATAGCTTGTTCACTTGGCCATGAGATGCAATAACAAATCAAGTGTGTTTATCTCCAACTCATACTCTGAAGACACTATATTTAGCAAAGCAGTGTGTTGGATACTTTTATACATTTTATAACATGTTTGCTAGTATGCTTTCATTCATTCTTGTGGTGTTTATACTGTTTTAGACAAGTTAATTTGGTCCACTACTCTTTCATGTGGTAGAGAGGGATACCTCCTCAGGAGTAAGCTAAGCAGTGGGCTAACCGTGACCATTGAAACCATTAACCATCAAATCATTACAAGCAGGCTCTCAACTGCGCAACACAACACAGCACTTTGGATGTTTAGGTACTTTCCTCTCTTCATTCATATAAAGTTCTAAACTGATTGAACTTTTGTACTTTCGCAGAACCTGAGCAGCAGGTATCAGCATTGTTTCAATAAGTGTTGTTGGAAAAGGCATTCATTAGCATTCACTCCCTCTCTTTCTCTCTAGTGTTCTGTGAGCTGTGGCCGGGGGACCAAGCAGCGGGAGATAACCTGTGTTTACCAAAACCAAACCCAAATAGAGGAAGAGTACTGCAGTCATCTGTCACATCCCCGGACACAGAAGGCCTGCCGAGCCCGGGGTTGCCCCAGCTGGAAGGCCAACAAGTGGAGCGAGGTATGTGTCCTAGCCACCCCGTCCCCACATACTCTCAAAATACCCCCAGGCCCCTTGGGGGGACCACACCGTCCGCCCCTCTCTAATGCTAACAGTCACCTCTAGCAGCTGGGACACCAACACAAACATAGTCAAGGGCTTCCCAGTGTCCCCAGATGTAGAACATATACAGTGGGGAAAAAAAGTATTTAGTCAGCCACCAATTGTGCAAGTTCTCCCACTTAAAAAGATGAGAGAGGCCTGTAATTTTCATCATAGGTTACACGTCAACTATGACAGACAAATTGAGATTTTTCTCCAGAAAATCACATTGTAGGATTTTTTATGAATTTATTTGCAAATTATGGTGGAAAATAAGTATTTGGTCACCTACAAACAAGCAAGATTTCTGGCTCTCACAGACCTGTAACTTCTTCTTTAAGAGGCTCCTCTGTCCTCCACTCGTTACCTGTATTAATGGCACCTGTTTGAACTTGTTATCAGTATAAAAGACAACTGTCCACAACCTCAAACAGTCACACTCCAAACTCCACTATGGCCAAGACCAAAGAGCTGTCAAAGGACACCAGAAACAAAATCGTAGACCTGCACCAGGCTGGGAAGACTGAATCTGCAATAGGTAAGCAGCTTGGTTTGAAGAAATCAACTGTGGGAGCAATTATTAGGAAATGGAAGACATACAAGACCACTGATAATCTCCCTCGATCTGGGGCTCCACGCAAGATCTCACACCGTGGGGTCAAAATGATCACAAGAACGGTGAGCAAAAATCCCAGAACCACACGGGGGGACCTAGGGAATGACCTACAGAGAGCTGGGACCAAAGTAACAAAGCCTACCATCAGTAACACACTACGCCGCCAGGGACTCAAATCCTGCAGTGCCAGACGTGTCCCCCTGTTTAAGCCAGTACATGTCCAGGCCCGTCTGAAGTTTGCTAGAGTGCATTTGGATGATCCAGAAGAGGATTGGGAGAATATCATATGTTCAGATGAAACCAAAATAGAACTTGTCGTGTTTGGAGGACAAAGAATGCTGAGTTGCATCCAAAGATCACCATACCTACTGTGAAGCATGGGGGTGGAAACATCATGCTTTGGGGCTGTTTTTCTGCAAAGGGACCAGGACGACTGATCCGTGTAAAGGAAAGAATGAATGGGGCCATGTATCGTGAGATTTTGAGTGAAAACCTCCTTCCATCAGCAAGGGCATTGAAGATGAAACGTGGCTGGGTCTTCAAGCATGACAATGATCCCAAACACACCGCCCGGGCAACGAAGGAGTGGCTTCGTAAGAAGCATTTCAAGGTCCTGGAGTGGCCTAGCCAGTCTCCAGATCTCAACCCCATAGAAAATCTTTGGAGGGAGTTGAAAGTCCGTGTTGCCCAGCGACAGCCCCAAAACATCACTGCTCTAGAGGAGATCTGCATGGAGGAATGGGCCAAAATACCAGCAACAGTGTGTGAAAACCTTGTGAAGACTTACAGAAAACGTTTGACCTGTGTCATTGCCAACAAAGGGTATATAACAAAGTATTGAGAAACTTTTGTTATTGACCAAATACTTATTTTCCACCATAATTTGCAAATAAATTCATTAAAAATCCTACAATGTGATTATCTGGATTTTTTTTCTTCTCATTTTGTCTGTCATAGTTGACGTGTACCTATGATGAAAATTACAGGCCTCTCTCATCTTTTTAAGTGGGAGAACTTGCACAATTGGTGGCTGACTAATTACTTTTTTTCCCCACTGTACAGTACTGTACACACTGTGTACCTGTCCAATCACTAAGCAGTTTATATACTCTTGTACCTAATGTCCTTCCACAGGCTAGATTTACATAGCTGTTTATGCAATGTACCAGACTTGTATACTTGTGAGAAGAAATGTTATGGGATTTCAAAGAAGCTCTCTCCACTAGTTACCCTGTGCCTTTCTGGTGCATTTTACTGCACCAATGCAGCATGCTAGACAAAAGTTTTAACAAAAATCACAAATGCAAGAAGGTACCTACTTTCTACAGACAGACAGATCCCACTGGGCACAAACTGGTTGAATCAACATTGTTTAAACGTAATTTGTCAACTATTTGTAACGTGGAATCTATATGAAAAATATATTGGATTTGCAAAAAGTCATCAACTGTTGTTTTGAGAGTCAAATTTCAACCACAGAATGGTAACAAATGTTCAACATTGTCAAGGTAGATGTAGGTGGGTGTGGTGGTGGAATCAGGCGCAGGACGCAGAACGTTAGTCCAACAGACTTTAGTTGATGCACACGAAAAACAATCACAAACAAACGCCCTGAGGCGAAACTCCGCACGTAGGCTAAAATAACGGGCGCACTAACAGGTGCGACACAAACACTCCAAACAATGGAGATATAGCTCAACCGAGCAAACAGTAGAAATCCAGCCTACCGGCACGACAGTAAAACAATCACACACAACACTAGACAAACACAACGAGAACTTATAGGACACTAATACACTAAACGATAACAGGTGTAACAACAATCAGACAAAAGCAAACGAACATAGAAACATGCAACGGTGGCAGCTAGTATTCCGGAGACGACGAACGCCGAAGCCTGCCCGAGCAAGGAAGAGAGGCAGCCTCGGCCGAAACCGTGACAGTACCCCCCCCCCCCCCCTTGACGCGCGGCTCCAGACGTGCGCCGACTCCGGCCTCGGGGACGACCAGGAGGACGCGGAGCATGGTGCGTCGGGTGCCCAAGATGGAATTCCGTCAGGAGAGACGGGTCCAAAATGTCTCTCCTCGGCACCCAGCACCGTTCCTCCGGGCCGTACCCCTCCCACTCCACTAGATATTGGAGACCCCCCATCCGACGTCTCGAATCCAAGATGGACCGCACGGAGTACGCCGGTGCCCCCTCGATGTCCAATGGGGGCGGAGGAGTCTCCCTGATCTCACTTTCTTGGAGTGGGCCAGCTACCACCGGCCTGAGAAGAGACACATGGAACGAGGGGTTAATACTTTTATACTCAACAGGTAGTTGTAATTTGTAACACACCTCGTTCAACCTTCTCAGGACTTTAAATGGCCCTACAAACCGCCGACCCAGTTTCCGACAGGGCAGGCGGAGGGGCAGGTTTCTGGTAGAGAGCCAGACTCGATCACCAGGTGCGTACACCGGTCCCTCACTGCGGTGGAGATCGGCGCTCGCCTTATGACGACGGAGGGCCCGCTGCAGGTGGACGTGTGCAGCGTTCCATGTCTCCTCCGAGCGCCGCGCCCACTCATCCACCGCAGGAGCCTCGATCTGGCTCTGCTGCCAAGGTGCCAGAACCGGCTGGTAACCTAACACACATTGGAAAGGGGTTAGGTTAGTGGAGGAATGGCGTAGGGAATTCTGGGCCATTTCGGCCCAGGGAACGTACCTTGCCCACTCCTCCGGCCGGTCCTGGCAGTATGTTCTAAGAAACCTACCCACATCCTGGTTCACGCGTTCCACCTGCCCATTACTCTCCGGGTGGTAACCCGAGGTGAGGCTCACCGAGACCCCCAACCACTCCATAAACGCTCTCCAGACTCTGGAGGTAAATTGGGGACCTCGATCAGACACAATATCCTCGGGTACCCCGTAGTGCCGGAACACATGGGTGAATAGTGCTTCGGCGGTTTGCAGGGCAGTAGGAAGGCCCGGCATAGGGAGCAAACGACAGGCCTTAGAAAACCGGTCCACAACGACCAGTATAGTGGTATTCCCCTGTGAAGGAGGAAGGTCAGTGAGGAAATCCACCGAGAGGTGAGACCATGGTCGTTGTGGAACGGGCAGGGGTAGTAACTTACCCCTAGGCAGATGTCTAGGCGCCTTACACTGGGCGCACACCGAGCAGGAGGAAACATAAACCCTGACATCCCTCGCCAACGTGGGCCACCAGTACTTGGCACTAAGACAGTGCACTGTCCGGCCGATACCAGGGTGTCCAGAGGAGGGTGACGTGTGAGCCCAATAGATCAATCGATCCCGAACCTCGAGCGGAACGTACTTCCGACCCTCCGGGCATTGAGGTGGACTAGGGTCGGTGCGTAACGCCCACTCGAGTTCAGCATCGACCTCCCACACTACCGGTGCCACCAGACACGACTCCGGCAGTATGGGAGTGGGCTCCACGGACCTCTCCTCCGTGTCATACCGCCGAGACAGTGCGTCTGCCTTACCGTTCTGTGACCCAGGGATGTACGTGATCTTAAATGTGAACCGGGTCAAAAACATATTCCACCTCGCCTGGCGAGGGTTCAGCCTCCTCGCTGCCCGGATGTACTCCAGGTTACGGTGGTCCGTCAAAATGAGGAAAGGGTGTTGAGCCCCCTCAAGCCAGTGCCTCCACACCTTTAGGGCCTGTACCACGGCTAACAGCTCCCTGTCCCCCACGTCATAGTTTCGCTCCGCCGGACTGAGCTTCTTGGAATAAAAAGCACAGGGGCGGAGTTTAGGTGGCGCGCCGGACCGTTGCGACAGCACGGCTCCTATACCGGCCTCTGACGCGTCCACCTCTACCTGAAATGGCAAAGAGGGATCCGGATGCGCCAGCACCGGAGCCGAGGTAAACAGGTCCTTCAGCCTCCCAAACGCCCTGTCCGCCTCGGCTGACCACTGCAGACGCACCGGACCCCCCTTCAAAAGAGACGTTATGGGAGCTGCCACCTGTCCAAAACCCCAGATAAACCTCCGGTAATAATTCGCAAACCCCAAAAACTGCTGCACCTCCTTCACAGTGGTTGGCGTTTGCCAATTACGCACGGCTGACACCCGGTCTACCTCCATCTTCACCCCTGACGCAGACAACTGATAACCCAAAAAGGAGACCGACTCCTGGAAGAACAGACACTTCTCTGCCTTGACATACAGGTCGTGCTCCAACAGTCTCCGCAACACTCGGCGCACCAGGGCCACATGCTCGACTCGGGTAGGCGAGTACACGAGAATGTCATCGATGTACACAACCACCCCCTGCCCCTGCATGTCCCTGAAGATCTCATCCACGAAGGATTGGAAAACTGAAGGAGCGTTCATCAACCCGTATGGCATGACAAGATACTCGTAATGGCCCGAGGTGGTACTAAAGGCTGTCTTCCATTCATCGCCCCCCCTAATGCGCACCAAGTTGTACGCGCTCCTGAGATCTAATTTAGCGAAGAAACGCGCCCCGTGCAATGACTCCGTCATGGTCGCAATCAGCGGGAGTGGATAACTGTACTTCACCGTGATCTGATTGAGACCACGGTAATCAATGCACGGGCGTAATCCTCCATCCTTTTTCTTCACAAAAAAGAAACTCGAGGACGCAGGGGAAGTGGAGGGCCGTATGTATCCTTGTCTCAGAGATTCGTCTATGTACGTCTCCATAGCTCTCTTCTCCTCCTGAGACAGAGGATACACATGGCTCCGTGGGAGCGCAGCTCCTGCCTGGAGGTCTATCGCACAATCTCCCTGCCTATGGGGAGGCAACTGCGTCGCCCTCGACTTACTGAACACAATAGCCAAATCCCCATACTCAGGGGGAACGTGCAATGCGGGCACCTGGTTTGGACTCTCCACCGAGGTAGCCCCTACGGAAACGCCTAAACATCGACCCACACACTGGGCAGACCACTCCATCAGAGCCCTCTCCTGCCACGAAATAGATGGGTTATGGGTACTCAACCAGGGCATGCCCAGCACCACCGGATACGCAGGCGAGTCGATCAGAAATAGCTGGATCATCTCCTGATGACCCCCCTGCGCACACATCCTAAGTGGCGCAGTGACCTCCCTGATCAAGCCCGCCCCCAACGGACGGCTATCTAGGGCATGAACGGGGAAGGGAACGTCAACTGGGAGAAGGGGAATCCCTAAGGCTAAGCAAAACTTCTTATCAACAAAATTCCCAGCCGCGCCTGAATCTACCAGCGCCTTATGCTGGGAATGAGGTGCTACCTGTGGAAAACGCACAGGTATACAGAAATTTGCAACAGAGAGCTCTGGGTGAGTGGGGCGCCTACTCACCTGGAAGGACTCCCCAGTGCGGGACCTGTCGTCCTCTCCCCTAGGAGGCCATCCCCAGCACCTAGCCGCGGTGTGTCCTCCCCGACCACAGTTGGTGCAGGAGATGGACCCCCTCGTAAGCCGACCCCTCCTCTCTCTAGCGCCAGCGCCCCCGAGCTCCATGGGGCACGGCTCGGAAGCGCTGGAGGGTGAAATGGACGGACCCCCCTCGGGACGTCCGCGGGTAGCTAGCAGGGTATCCAGCCTGATGGACATGTCGACCAACTGGTCGAACGAGAGGCTGGTGTCCCTACAGGCCAGCTCCCTACGGACGTCCTCGCGTAGACTACATCGGTAGTGATCGATGAGAGCCCGCTCATTCCACCCTGCATCCGCCGCTAGAGTACGGAATTCCAAGGCGAACTCCTGGGCACTCCTCTTCCCCTGCCGGAGGCAGACCAGACGCTCCCCCGCCGCTTTCCCCTCCGGGGAATGGTCAAACACCGCCCTGAAGCGGCGGGAGAACTCGTCGTAGGTGATGGTGTTCGCGTCGATTCTCCTCCACTCTGCGTTGGCCCATTCCAACGCCTTCCCGGAAAGGCAGGAGATCAGGGCGGACACGCTCTCGTGTCCCGAGGGCGCCGGGTGCACGGTGGCCAGGTAAAGCTCCACCTGGAGAAGGAATCCCTGACACCCGGCCGCGGTCCCATCGTAGGCCCTCGGGAGCGAGAGCCGAACTCCTCTGGGTTCCGGAGCGGGACTGGGCTGACCTGCCGATGGTGCGGGCAGGGAGGATGGCGGTGGAGGAGTCCCTCGGGTCTCCCAGCCTCGGATGGTGGTGATCACCTCCTGCAGTGCGGACCCCATCCGCAGGATCTGGTCATTTTGTTCGCGGATCCTGTCCTCCAACGTCGCCTGTGCTGCTGCGGCTCCTGCTGACTCCATCGAGTATGGTGTGTGATTCTGTCAAGGTAGATGTAGGTGGGTGTGGTGGTGGAATCAGGCGCAGGACGCAGAACGTTAGTCCAACAGACTTTAGTTGATGCACACGAAAAACAATCACAAACAAACGCCCTGAGGCGAAACTCCGCACGTAGGCGAAAATAACGGGCGCACTAACAGGTGCGACAAAAACACTCCAAACAATGGAGATATAGCTCAACCGAGCAAACAGTAGAAATCCAGCCTACCGGCACGACAGTAAAACAATCACACACAACACTAGACAAACACAACGAGAACTTATAGGACACTAATACACTAAACGATAACAGGTGTAACAACAATCAGACAAAAGCAAACGAACATAGAAACATGCAACGGTGGCAGCTAGTATTCCGGAGACGACGAACGCCGAAGCCTGCCCGAGCAAGGAAGAGAGGCAGCCTCGGCCGAAACCGTGACAAACATAGACAAACCTTGTATAAAATATGTTGAATTTGTACCTTTGAAACAACGTCAGATCTTCAACGTTATATCCACTATCAGAAAATAAACTATAGACTGGGCAGCATCTCCTACTGGAGAGTTGATCTACAGCTATCCATTTGGTCTCCCATCCCATTTAATCAAGTCCAGCCCAGCTTTGATATTTGTCACTGACTACTGCCAATGTGCTATTGTGACAATGATTATTGAGAACTCACTTAACTAAATAGATTCACTGTTGCTATCGAAGTCATTCCAAAGGGTAGGTTTAACAGAGCAAATGAAATGTAACCATACTCTCTCTATAAATCATATATCATCAATGATACTATTTAGGCCTATATATCATTTGCGAAGTCATCAACAGCTATTGTTTCAATTCAACCCAGGGTTCAACTAAAAATTGACAATACATATAAGCCTAGGGTTTCAAGTTTTGGTTGATGTCAAATTTAATCTTCAAGTTAATAATCAATATGTTGGATTTATGTCTCCATTTCAACCAAAAGTTAAAGAATAGGACTAAATCAAATCTAACTTTATTTAAAGTTTGATTTGATTTAGTCCTTTAGCAGCGCTAGGAGAGGGGAAATCCATGATCACAAATGTATCACAAGGCCACCAGAGAGTAAAGGAGATTGAGGTGGAGGGAGATTTGTCATGTTCTGACAAGTTGCCCAGAGCAGAGGAGGGAGTAGCTGTCTGTCCGTAAGTGGTGACTATTTAACAGTCTGATGGCCTGGAGATAGAAGCTGTTTTTCAGTCTCTCGGTCCCAGCTTTGATGCGCCCGTACTGTCTCCGCCTTCTAGATTGTAGCGGGGTGAACAGGCTTTCCTGTGACGCCAGGTGCTGTAGATGTCTTGACAGGCAGGCAGTGTGCCCCCGGTGATGCGTTGGGCTGACTGCACCACCCTCTGGAGAGCCTTGCAGTTGCGGACGGTGCAATTGCTGTACCAGGCAGTGATACAGCCCGACAGCATGCTCTCAATGGTGCATCTGTAGAAGTCTGTGAGGGTCTTAGGGGCCAAGCCGAATTTCTTCAGCCTCCTGAGTTTGAAGAGGTATTGTTGCTCTTTCTTCACCACACTGTCTGTGTGAATGGACCATTTCAGGTTGTCAGTGATGTGCAAGCCGAGGAACTTAAAGCTTTTCACCCTCCACTGCGTTCCCGTCGGAGAGTAGCAATGGTCAAGAGTGCTCGATGTGCGAGTAGCATAGGAGATGTGTTGATGGAACTTCGGTAGCGTTTTCCTCAGATTTCCTTTATTAGTCCCCAGCTACAATAAATGCTGCCTGAGGATATGCAGTTTCCAGTTTGCACAAAGTCCAATATAGTTCCTTGAGAGCCGTCCCGGTGTCTGCTTGGAAGGGGAAAATACACGGCCATGACAATGACCGAAGAAAATTATTTTGGGAGGTAATGCGGTAATTCTCTCACTCTATCAGGCCCCCTGAAGATGTACAGTATTTAAATAATGTTTATGTTGGACACAAGATGGAGAGCAAAGAGAGCTCCTCAGGTCCTGTATGCTCCTCACCCCCAAAGTGTGGTTGTGAAATCCCCATTGGGCTTGCAATGGGAGCCCATCTCTGTAGCTCAGCTGGTAGAGCACGGCGCTTGTAACGCTAAGGTAGTGGGTTCGATCCCCGGGACCACCCATACACAAAAAAAAATGTATGCACGCATGACTGTAAGTCGCTTTGGATAAAAGCGTCTGCTAAATGGCATATTATTATTATTATTATTATCTCTGTTTTCCTCCATGAGACCACTGCCACTTCCCAGCCTTTGTGGGCCTCACTCTCCCTCTCCCTCCCTGGTGTCTGGAAGCAATCATCTCCCTTCACATACCACCAGAAACCATGAAATCCACAACTAGAGCATAAAGACATGTTTTATATCTTAACATTCATGCCTGTGACAACTTTGGAAACCTCAGCACCCACCGTTTGGGCTTTTCAGCAGCCAGCCACTCAACCCCCTCACAGTCTGGTGAAGGGGTACGAGAGAGGAGGGGGATGTAGGGGTCCTCTCTCCTTTAAAAACATACAATTAGAATCACAGGTTCTACTTCTAGGCTATTCTCATATTCTATTTTAATTCTAATTGTATTCTAGCACAAATTATTATATTTTTATGAACAAAAACGACATACTGCAGATGGGTAGAGAGCAGCAGTTTCTGGAGAAGCTCAACTCCATCAAATAGTGTGCTTAACTATGACAAGTGTGATCCCCGGCAATGAAAACCAAAAGCCTCTTGGAAAGAGACTAGAATCTAATTTCTTAAGCCGTAATAGTTGTTCAAATCGTAGTAGGAGGCTCTATTACACCCCACTTTGGGATATTAAAAAAGACGGCCTTTAAATGAGGCCTTGTTCTGTACATTAATTGATCTGACTAGGGGAACTTGCAGTTTCTAAAGATATTGTGGCTGTATAGCGAGTATTTATACAGCTTTCTTCTAGAACCCCGGGGGTTGGTTTCCGGACCCAGATTAAGCCTATTCCTGGACTAAAAAGCACTTTGAATGGAGGGTCTCCATTGTACATGCTTCTTAGTCCAGGATAACGCTTAATCTTTGTCCGGGAAACCTCTTTCTAATGAAATCCTGGAGATCTATTAGTGCTGGAGAGCTTCCTTAGCATGCAGGTAGGATTCTCAATGACTTCAAAGAGATGGGCCAGGTGATAGACCTGTGGGTAAACTCACAATATGGCTCACACAGACACAACAACCAAAGGCTCAGAGGAAAACATACGTCTCTGTCTGCATTGTTCAAGGACATTGTGTAGAGGCATCAAAGCCTGTGACGCAGACCCAACAGACTAAACAAAGCATGTACTGTATGTTACAAAACGTTGATGCTTCGTCCAGGTCAGAGAGTGGAAGGGGACATGATGGGAAGATTTATGTTTTTGTGTGAATTTGAGACTTGGTTGCTACAGTAGCAAGCTGAAACACAGATGAGGATATCTGTGCTGGCAATGCAATGACAACAACCTGATCGTGAACTAGCTTGTGTGTTGTGTGTCAGTCGATCTAATGTGTGTGTTTGTGTGTGTTTTGTAGTGCTCTGTCACCTGTGGAGTGGGGGTCCAGAACAGATATGTGTACTGCAGACTGAAGGGTACAGGGCGGGTGAGAGAGGAGCTGTGTGGTTCCCACCACCGTCCGGCCACTGCCCAGCCCTGCCAGGCTACTGAGTGTCTCCATCACACCTGGGCAGCCGGAGAGTGGCAAGATGTAAGTATAGACAACTATCTATCTTTCTATCTCACTTACCCTGTCTTCTTCTATATATAATTTTTCTAATGTCCTAGACGGAACTTCGGAGAGTCAATGTGCTTTCAAATACTATTTCATCATTAGATTTTTTGGATTGTATTCACATAGATTTGTTAATAGAGACAGACTCCAGTTGCTAGCATGTGTGTTTAATGAACACACAGCAGTCATGGTGTTTGTGTGCGAGAGACAGACATAAGATCATCATACCGGAGATTGTTATTGGCAGTGCTCTGTCATAGAGCTAGTGGACCAGACCAGCTGTGTTTGTGAGGTCACTGAGGTAGCCCAGCACTCCTGCATCAGACATGAGGGTTTAAACGATAACCATCACTCTATGATAAATCACATCAAAACCTCAAAGCACTGATCCATATCACATCCATGTCTTTTGTCTAGTCGAGTGGCACTGCACTGTGTGACATGAGCACTGAGCAGTCCTCTTCAACCTAGTGTTTTTTTCCCCTTGGCCACGCTCTTCCTTTCATGTCCCCCCTACTCCGTCGCCAAACTTCAGGACACAAGACGAGCACCATGTAAGGACTTTGTGCTGCTTCCTCCTGGTGCAGAAATGTTTGCACATGCTCAGATCCTGTCTGTCTGTGTTGCTATGCATTCCACTGATTGTTTACAGCCTCCTGACTCAGAAACAGACATTTCTGGCCCAGAAACCATTTCAGCATTCATAACTGTGCTTAGAATATGAGATATTCTAATAAACAAAACTGATATCTTATTTGATTTTATAGGACATACGCTTTAGCCATTCAAAACCTAGCGTGCCTACTCTCACATTGTAAAACCTGTCTTAACTTTAGACTACCTCTCTAAACCATCATTCCAATTCACTCAAAACCAACTTGAGTATCCACCAATGACTTGCCATGTCCTTTATGTCTGGGGTTGGCCTTGAAAGCAATGGGAGATGTCATATCATTCTTACTTTTCCTCCCCTGGATAAAGTGTAGAATACATTTTTTGGAGTGTGGGCATCTGGAGAGCTAAGGAAACAACCAAGCCTGTCAGAACTTCTCTGGGGTATCTCTGCTAGCAGTCCAACACTGCCCCCTATGCCAATCTAAAGACATTACCCTTTGATCCACACGCGTATTAATCTCGTCCACCAGCCGGCTCTCGCTCTATCGAACCTATATGCGGTAGCAATTGAGACTGGGGACAAGGTTACAGTTGTATTACGTTTAATGCCTTTTAATGTTGACATGATGGCTGATCGTCATATTGGCCTGTGTCTGTTCTCTGCAGTGTAATGCCACCTGTGGAGAAGGTATGAGAAACAGGAAGGTTCTGTGTATGGGGGCCGGGCTGACCCCAGTCCAGGATGCCCTCTGTGACCCCTTGTCTTGCCCTGCCCTGCACCAGCCCTGCAGCAGAGCACCCTGTTACAACATGTGGATAACAGGAGAGTGGTCACAGGTACAGTAGGAACCTTGGTTTAGGAACCCTCTGCCTGGTCATACCTTTAAATAGGCCTACCTTTGCGTCATTTGATGTAACAATTTACCAACAGTATTTGACTAGCCAAGGTCGTCAATCAGAAATTGATATATTGAGGTGTTATTCCACAAATGTATCTATATCCTTATCCACTGAGGTGTGATTTCAATTGTGTGTGATTTACAGTGCTCTGCTAGCTGTGGCGTGGGCTACCAGCAGCGTATAGTGTCCTGCTCCATGAAACCCTCCTCCACCCTGCACCCCTATGATGCCCAGTCCCGCCCTCACTGTCCAGAGCCTCACCCACCTAGCACCAGGCAGTGCCTCCTTCGAGACTGCCCACAAGCTGCCTACTGGAAAGTTGGCCCATGGAGCAAGGTGTGTTTCAGTGTGTTTGAGAGAGAGAAAGAGGGGGATGGAGAGAACATGGAGAGAGAGAGAGAGAAAGAGAGAGGGGGTGGTTAATGGTATCAGATCATGTTATTGAAACAACAGTTATGTTTGTACAGTGAGTATGTAATATGTCAGTAGTCTACATGTAATTCACTGTGTTGATGTCCTTTATGTGCTCCTCAGTGCTCCCAGACGTGTGGAGCGGGGGTAATGGAGCGCAGGGTGGAGTGTCTGACCTCTAAAGGTCAACTGTCCAAACACTGCCGTCCAGCCGAGAGGCCCGAGTCACAGGCCACCTGCCGAGAGAGAGAGTGTGAGTCTCTACAGTACCACTACTGCTACATACATACAAACACGCACGCACACACACACAAACACACATACACACACACACTTCTACACAGCCTCTCTAATACTTATCTCTACTACTACTACACAGCCTCTCCCTGACAAACCCTTTCCATTCCCTCATGAACTGTACACAATGGTTTTCAGAAAGTGTGCTTACAGCTATTGCAGCGCCGCTCTGAAGTATTAGGCCTACAACTTAGATGTGCTTTCCTTGATGACTTTTCTGATCCATGCAGTGCTTAATGCCAAACAGGAGTGTGTATAGTAATGGAATGAAATCGACTGTGCGGTATAGCAGCCAACTGCCATATCTGATAGTGTTTATAGAAGGTCAACTTATTTCTTTATTTTAACACATTGGGCATAACGTTAACCTTGACTTTAAGCCTTTCTCTGAGCAATTGGTCTCTGAAACAATAAATAGTGAGTCAGAGTTCTCCACTCACGCTGGTGACAGAGAGGCAGTCAGACAGTGAGGAGTGTGCTGGGGCTGAGGCTGAGGTTGGGGCTGGGGCTGACTGGAGTTGAGTCTGGGGCTGGGGCTGGGGCTGGGGCTGGGGCTGAGGCTGGGGCTGGGGCTGAGGCTGGGGCTGGGGCTGAGGCTGGGGCTGGGGCTGGGGCTGAGGCTGGGGCTGAGGCTGGGGCTGTGGCGACCTTCACTCCTGACCCTATGTGTTAGCTGAGTTGGCTCCTGGCCAAGGTTTGCAGGTTCATTCCCCACATTTCAGATGTTTACACACGGCCTGGGGATTGCGCTGGAGCATTGTGCCGCATGTCTCTTGCCAAGTCATGCATCGGGCTAAATTAAAATGCTCGGGTGACAGCCAGTTCACCGGTCAAGTAGTAATACTAATCAGCTAATCAGAAAGAACTGGCCTCCAACCACACATGAACAATAATAGGGAATGTAAATAAAGAGAGATTTTCTTGTTTTCTAGAGATCCACTAGAGATCCTGGTTCGAATCCAGGCTCTGTCATAGCTGGCTTCGACCAGGAGACCCATGGGGCGGCGCACAATTGGCCCAGCGTCGTCCAGGGTAAGGGAGGGAATGGCTGGCAGGGATGTAGCTCAGCTGGTAGAGCATGGCGTTTGCAATGCCAGGGTTGTGGGTTTGATTCCCACGGGGGGCCAGTATGAAAAATAGAAAAATAATGTATGCACTCACTAACTGTAAGTCGCTCTGGATAAGAGTGTCTGCTAAATGACTAAAATGTAAATAACAAGCATCTTCATGAGTTTTTCCTGCTGTTTATTTATTGGAACGCTAGTAGCGTTTTGTTGTTTAACACTTTCATTTACTGACCTATTTACAAGACCTATTTTTATTTATTTATTTTTATTTCACCTTTATTTAACCAGGTAAACCAGTTGAGAACAAGTTCTCATTTACAACTGCGACCTGGCCAAGATAAAGCAAAGCAGTGCGATAAAAACAACAACACAGAGTTACATATGGGGTAAACAAAACATAAAGTAAAAATACAACAGAAAATATATATACAGTGTGTGCGAATGTAGTAAGTTATGGAGGTAAGGCAATAAATAGGCCATAGTGCAAAAAAGTTACAATTTCGGGGTGCAAATTAGCAAAATATATAACATTATGGGGATGAGGTAGTTGGGTGGGCTAATTTCAGAATGTCTGTGTACAGGTGCAGTGATCGGTAAGCTGCTCTGACAACTGATGCTTAAAGTTAGTAGGGGAGATGAGTCTCCAGCTTCAGAGATTTTTGCAGTTCGTTCCAGTCATTGGCAGCAGAGAACTGGAAGGAATGGCGGCCAAAGGAGGTGTTGGCTTTGGGGATGACCAGTGAGATATACCGGCTGGAGCGCAGACTACGGGTGGGTGTTGCTATGGTGACCAGTGAGCTAAGATAAGACGGGGATTTGCCTAGCAGTGATTTATAGATGACCTGGAGCCAGTGGGTTTGGCGACGAATATGTAGTGAGGGCCCGCCAACAAGAGCGTACAGGTCACAATGGTGGGTAGTATATGGGGCTTTGGTGACAAATCGGATGGCACTGTGATAGACTACATCCAATTTGCTGAGTAGAGTGTTGGAGGCTATTTTGTAAATGACATCGCCGAAGTCAAGGATCGGTAGGATAGTCAGTTTTACGAGGGCATGTTTGGCAGCATGAGTGAAGGAGGCTTTGTTGCGAAATATGAAGCCGATTCTAGCTCTAACTTTTGATTGGAGATGCTTAATGTGAGTCTGGAAGGAGTTTACAGTCTAACCAGACATCTAGGTATTTGCAGTTGTCCACATACTCTAGGTCAGACCCGCCGAGAGTAGTGATTCTAGTCGGGTGGGCGGGTGCGAGCAGCGTTCGGTTGAAGAGCATGCATTTCGTTTTACTAGTGTTTAAGAGCAGTTGGAGGCTAAGGAAGGAGTGTTGTATGGCGTTGAAGCTCGTTTGGAGGTTTGTTAACACAGTGTCCAATGAAGGGCCAGATGTATACAAAATGGTGTCGTCCGCATAGAGGTGGATCCAAGCGTCACTAGCAGCAAGAGCGACATCATTGATATACACAGAGAATAGAGTCGGCCCGAGAATTGAACCCTGTGGCACCCCCATAGAGACTGCTAGAGGTCCAGACAACAGGCCCTCCGATTTGACACATTGAACTCTATCTGAGAAGTAGTTGGTGAACCAGGCGAGGCAGTCATTTGAGAAACCAAGGCTATTTAGTCTGCCAATAAGAATGCGGTGGTTGACAGAGTCGAAAGCCTTGGCCAGATCGATGAAGACGGCTGCGCAGTACTGTCTATTATCGATCGCGGTTATAATATAGTTTAGGACCTTGAGCGTGGCTGAGGTGCACCCATGACCAGCTCGGAAACCAGATTGCATAGCGGAGAAGGTACGGTGGGATTCGAAATGGTTGGTGATCTGTTTGTTAACTTGGCTTTCAAATACTTTCGAAAGGCAGGGCAAGATGGATATAGGTCTGTAACAGTTTGGATCTAGAGTGTCACCCCCTTTGAAGAGGGGGATGACCGCGGCAGCTTTCCAATCTCTGGGGATCTCAGACGTTACGAAAGAGAGGTTTAACAGGCTAGTAATAGGGGTTGTGACAATTTCGGCGGCTAATTTTAGAAAGAAAGGGTCCAGATTGTCTAGCCCAGCTGATTTGTAGGGGTCCAGATTTTTCAGCTCTTTCAGAACATCAGCTGTCTGAATTTGTGTGAAGTCTACTTTAGACTCTTCTTCAGTTATAGGCTACATCTACGTAGATTATTGGTTAAAGGTCCAGTGGAGCCGTTTCTATCTCAATATCAAATCATTTCTGGGTAACAATTAAGTTCCCTACTGTGATTGAAACAAAAATAGCTTCTTAGCAAAATACAATTTCTCAAGCAAGAATGTTGCTAGGACTGTCTGGGACTGGTCTGAGAGAGGGGTCTAATTGGAGGAGCCTTATGGGAGGGCTGTGCAACCTGAAAACTAGCTGTTATTGGCAGAGAGGAGGGCACACTCTCTGTTATTGGTCTATTGATTTACAGTATACCGCCTAATGATGTATCCCCAACTGAAATTTCAGGTTGTCTTTTCAAACAGCTCTTACACTAAAAGTGCATTATAATTATAATAATTACAATTTCACAGTATTATTTGAACCTCATAGTGTAGAAATATATATATATAAAACACAGGAAAACGTTACGTTTTAACTGCACTGCCCCTTTAAAATAATCTTAAAATACCTGTACTTTTTTACTGAAAAAACATGTATGTTTTACATTTGATGGTAGATCATGTAAATTTGCGTGTAAAGTATCCTGTTACAGTGAGGGAAACAAGTATTTGATCCCCTGCTGATTTTGTACGTTTGCCCACTGACAAAGAAATTATCAGTCTATAATTTTAATGGTAGGTTTATTTGAACAGTGAGAGACAGAATAACAACAAATAAATCCAGAAAAACACGTCAAAAATATTATGAATTGATTTGCATTTTAATGAGGGAAATAAGTATTTGACCCCCTCTCAATCAGAAAGATTTCTGGCTCCCAGGTGTCTTTTATACAGGTAATGAGCTGAGATTAGGAGCACACTCTTAAAGGGAGTGCTCCTAATCTCAGCTTGTTACCTGTATAAAATACATCTGTCCACAGAAGCAATCAATCAATCAGATTCCAAACTCTCCACCATGGCCAAGACCAAAGAGCTCTCCAAGGATGTCAGGGACAAGATTGTAGACCTACACAACGCTGCAATGGGCTACAAGACCATCGCCAAGCAGCTTGGTGAGAAGGTGACAACAGTTGGTGCGATTATTCGCAAATGGAAGAAACACAAAAGAACTGTCAATCTCCCTCGGCCTGGGGCTCCATGCAAGATCTCACCTCGTGGAGTTGCAATGATCATGAGAACGGTGAGGAATCAGCACAGAACTACACGGGAGGATCTTGTCAATGATCTCAAGGCAGCTGGGACCATAGTCACCAAGAAAACAATTGGTAACACACTACGCCGTAAAGGACTGAAATCCTGCAGCGCCCGCAAGGTCCCCCTGCTCAAGAAAGCACATATACATGCCCGTCTGAAGTTTGCCAATGAACATCTGAATGATTCAGAGGAGAACTGGGTGAAAGTGTTGTGGTCAGATGAGACCAAAATCGAGCTCTTTGGCATCAACTCAACTCGCCGTGTTTGGAGGAGGAGGAATGCTGCCTATGACCCCAAGAACACCATCCCCACCGTCAAACATGGAGGTGGAAACATTATGCTTTGGGGGTGTTTTTCTGCTAAGGGGACAGGACAACTTCACCGCATCAAAGGGACGATGGACAGGGCCATGTACCGTCAAATCTTGGGTGAGAACCTCCTTCCCTCAGCCAGGGCATTGAAAATGGGTCGTGGATGGGTATTCCAGCATGACAATGACCCAAAACACAAGGCCAAGGCAACAAAGGAGTGGCTCAAGAAGAAGCACATTAAGGTCCTGGAGTGGCCTAGCCAGTCTCCAGACCTTAATCCCATAGAAAATCTGTGGAGGGAGCTGAAGGTTCGAGTTGCCAAACGTCAGCCTCGAAACCTTAATGACTTGGAGAAGATCTGCAAAGAGGAGTGGGACAAAATCCCTCCTGAGATGTGTGCAAACCTGGTGGCCAACTACAAGAAACGTCTGACCTCTGTGATTGCCAACAAGGGTTTTGCCACCAAGTACTAAGTCATGTTTTGCAGAGGGGTCAAATACTTATTTCCCTCATTAAAATGCAAATCAATTTATAACACTTTTGACATGCTTTTTTCTGGATTTTTTGTTTGTTATTCTGTCTCTCACTGTTCAAATAAACCTACCATTAAAATTATAGACTGATCATTTCTTTGTCATTGGGCAAACGTACAAAATCAGCAGGGGATCAAATACTTTTTTCCCTCACTGTATGTTGAAACTGACCTACAGTCCAGTACCATCCTATAATACTGTAACACTAAGGGCTGGATTCAATCCTTATCGCCGAAGATTCGCGTTAAAATGTAAAGGTAGTTTCCAAATGAGCCGACGACATATGCAGCGTTTACCGTGAATGCATTCTCCGCAAACGCGGGAACATTTAGGTTTCAATCGAGCTATAACACTGATCTTCCACGATACTTCGGTGATACGGATTGAATCCAGCCCTAAAGGTGCTCCGTCTTATTTCTGATTATAGGTCAGTTGTTCACGTCCTGCAGAGAGGTCCAGATAATACAGGGGGTGAGGATGGATGGGGAGTACAACCTGAAAGTCAAGTCCAGGATACTACAGGTGTGTGCTCTCTGTCAGAATCACTAACTATCACTTCATCATTAATCACTTCCAGGCCAGGATTCAGAATTTGTTGTCTCAATGTGTTTCTTCCTAGATCTACTGTGCTGAGATGCAGACTGATTTCCCTAAGGAGTATGTTACGCTGCGGAGTGGTCAGACAGACAACTACTCAGAGGTCTATGGATACAGGTGTGCTCATTGAAACCGGATTGTCTGTGCTGAATACAGTTTCTGTTTATGGACAGAATACACTATAATACTGTAAATGATTCTATATTAACATTCATTCAAACAGTCATTACATATAAGCAATGAGTCAGGAAGCAGGTGCAAAAGTTGAGTTTAATAATGAGAATAAGCAGGAAAACAAAACAGAAGAAGCGTACTGAACGTGAAGAAAACCAGAGCGGGAGGTTCCTGGTGGAGAGCCAGACGTGATCACCAGGATGGAACACGGGAGACCCCGCAGTAGGTAGACCAGAGAGAGGGATAAAACGGCAGGATGTAGAGAATCTGTCAACAATGACCATAATAGTGGTAAAACCATCAGAAATTGGGAGATCAGATACAAAGTATATGGACAGATCTGACCAAGGCCACTGAGGCACGGGAAGGGGAATTAGTTTCCCTGCTGGAGCGTGCCGGGGAGATTTGGATTGGATATATACGGTGCATGAGTTGACATAGTGGGCGACGTCCTGCGCCAAGGTGGGCCACCAGTATTTATCGGAAAGGGATTGGATGGTGCGGGTGATACCTGGGTGTCCAGCAGCGAGGGATGTGTGTGCCCAGGTCAACAGCCGATCGCTCACCCCCGTGGGGACGTAGATGCGCTCTGGAGGGCAGGTAGCAGGAGCGGGTTCCCTCTCCAGAGCCTGGCGGATGTCCAACGATTCAGGAGGACAGATTGATAGGCTGGAGGGCACTCACAGGACCCTCTACCAACGTGGGACCACAGGGTGCGGGAAAGCAGGTCCTCCAGCATCCTGGTCCCCAGGCGGTGATTCTCATCCTCGACCAGGAGATGGTGGGGTTATGAAGTTGGAGCCATAGGAGGCCAAGGATAACTTTGTGTATGGATGCAGTGGTGATGAGGTAGGGAAGGCTTTCCTGGTGCATGGGTCCCACGGTCAGGGTGAGTGGTGCTGTGATATAGTCCCCTGTAGCTCAGTTGGTAGAGCATGGCGCTTGCAATGCCAGGGTTGTGGGTTCGTTTCCCACGGGGGGCCAGTATGAAAATGTATGCACTCACTAACTGTAAGTCGCTCTGGATAAGAGCATCTGCTAAATGACTAAAATGTAAATGTGCGTAATTGTGCCGGATCCCAATGGTCGCGTATCCAGGGCTTGGACAGGAAAAGGAGAGGAGAGCGGGTATGAAGTTAAGTTCAGGGAGGAGGCGAGGGCCTGAAGTTCCCAGCGGCACCGGAGTCCACTAGAGCTGTAGAGACAACACTCGAGGGACAGCCAGCCAGTGAAATGGGAGAACGATGATAATGGAATACTCACGCCTACCTTAGGAGACGGAAGGTCACGGGGCCGCCCCTCTGCTCTAGTGGGCCCCGGGTTGGGATGCACCGGACACCGCTGAAGCTGGTGCCACTCCTGGCCGCAATAGGGACAGAGCCCCAGCTGTCTCCGGTGACGCCGCTCTGCCGCAGAGAGGTGTGTGGCCCCTACCTCCATGGGTTCAGGCTCTGCCTCAGCACAGCCAAAGGAGGGAGGCGAGGTAGACACCGGCGCTCCCGAAGAAGGTTATCCAGATGGATGGCCATTGCCATGAGAGCTCCGCACTCTATTCCACAGTGGACTGTCACAGTCCGAAAGGTGAGGGCGTACTCTGCAGTGGTCTGGGCACCCAGCTGGAGTTGGAAGAGTCGCTCACCTCCCTCTCTGCCCTCTGGAGGATGGTCGAAGACCGCCCTGAACAGAGCCATGAACCTCTCATAGGAACCCAGCTCCTCCTCTCTCCCAGACGGCCGTAGCCCACACCAACGCCCGTCCGGTCAGCAGGGAAATGACCGTGGCAACCTTGGACCCCTCGGTGGTGGCGGCTCCCGTCTGATAGGCAAAATAGAGGGAGCACTGGAGTAGGAAGCCACAGCATTTCGATGGAGTATCGTCATACTTCTCCGGAAGGGACCGTCGGGCATCGCTGACCTGGCCGGACGCCTGGGTAGGCTGGGGGACTGGCTCACTGTGATGACCTGTGGTAGGCGGCACTCCATCAGAGGTATGGAGAACCTTCGCTGGTGGTGTTGAGGCGGTGGAGAACGCAGAGGATCTCCTTCATGGTCGTACCCAGTAGAGCCAGCTGGTCGGGGTGTTGGTGGAGTAGATTACCCTGATCCTCGACAGTCTGGAAGATGGTGTTTTCTTCTGCTGCTTCCATTTTTTTCAGAGGCAGTATTCTGTAATGTATATGCTAGGAGTCAGGAAGCAGGTGCAGAAGGTGAGTTTAATAATGAGAATAAGCAGATAAATAAAACAGAAGACGCGTACTCAACGTGAACAAAACCAATACTGCCTGAAGACTGAGGCTACTGAGGGCTAAATAAAGGGGAAGTAATCAAGGTAATGATGAAGTCCAGGTGTGCATAACGATGGGGAGCAGGTGTGCGTAATGATGGTTGCCAGGTGTGCGTAATGTGGGTTGCCAGGACGGTGGTTAGTAGACCAGCGACGTCGAGCGCCGGAGAGAGGGAACGGGAGTAGGCGTGACATGTATCTTATCTGAAACATTATTTTTAATGTCTAGGTTGCTGAATCCTTTTGAGTGCCCCTACAACGGCAGCAGAAGGCAGGACTGTGACTGCAGGAACGATTACTCTGCAGCGGGATACACTCTCTTCCACAAGGTCCGTCTGGATGTCCACTCACTGAGGATAATGAGTGAGTAATGACCATATGATTGCCTGACCACCCTACTGCAATGAGACCACACATCCATGTTGTTTTACCCCTGCACACAGCCCGCTCCTCTCGCCCACCGCACTAAATAATGGGATTTTCACCGCCTTTCGCCACACCCTCAGGCTCTGTACAGAAATCATGATAACGCCTTTCAACAGGCCTGGTTCACATCACTGGCATAGAGTTGAAAACGCATGGGCACCTTGAGACATACACTTACACAGACACATGGTCACTCACAGGCATACTCACATACACACAAATGCTTGTACACACACAAAATCTCTTATGTTCTCTGACACACACGTGCATACTCTCTCTCTCTCACTCTTACACTCTCACACACACACGCAACATCTCCAGGCGATAATCCTCTGCCCATTACGACGTCCAGCCCCACCTCTCCAGTTGTCCCTGAGCATGTCTTCGATTAGTGTACATGTGGCGTGGTCAGGATTAGTGGTAATTATATCTGTGTGCGGCTAGGAGGAGGGAGCCCACTGCCCTCCACAGAACACATGCAGTCATCTCCCCACCCCATCCCCTGTCTACTCTGGTCCTGACAGCACATGTTCCCACCACACAAGGCCCTCCCCTCTCACTGCATGGAACTAATTTAGATTTGGGGCGGCTTGGCTATACTAATGGGTTCAAGATGAAGAGAAGATTATGAGCTGCTCTAGCTGTGCAATGCGTTTCTCATTAACTTTACCGCCATTTCTCACACACAGACAGACACAGAGAGAGAGAGAGTCATCTTAAATGTCATGTGGTTTAACCTCTGAGTAACTTGTCTCTTACAGGAACTCATGTCTCTGTGTATTACATTTACATTTACATCATTTAGCAGACGCTCTTATCCAGAGCGACTTACAAATTGGTGCATTCAACTTATGATAGCCAGTGGGACAACCACTTTTTTATCTTTCTTTTTTAATGGGGGGTAGAAGGATTACTTTATACTATTCCAGGTATTCCTTAAAGAGGTAGGGTTTCAAGTGTCTCCGGAAGGTGGTCAGTGACTGACTGTAACCTTCATATGCTCTGTGTCTGTCTATTGTTCGTGTATTGATTTTAACCATATTCTCTGTGTTATGTATCAGCCACAGACCTGAAGTTCTCTCAGACCCTGCTTGGTCGTCCCGTCCCCTTCGCCACAGCAGGAGACTGCTACAGTGCTGCCAAGTGTCCTCAGGTAGGAAATAGAGACCATTTTTGAGTCTATGAATTACAGACTGTAATCTGTATGCCTGTATGTCTTGATGGGGGGCCTTGAGCCAACTTTTCCTGGGCGAGTATTGAAATACAGTTCTGTCTGAATGGGTTTTATTGACCTAACACGTCCAGTCTGTTAACTGGAGATTAATCATACGTGTTCCCAGTTTCCACCAGGGGAGTAACCACATAATGACACTTAACCATCCAGTGTAGCTCAGTGTGTCTGTTCACTGTACCGTGGTGCTGCTTTCGTTGTCAGCCCCTGGAATGGAAATGAAATACAGCCTAATTTAATGTATTTGAATCCTGATCAGGTCCACTTTAAAACAATTTCAGTTTGATCAAGGGAAGTTGGTCTGAGGTCTATTGTAATCACTGTGGTGTTCTTCCACAGGGCCAGTTTAGTATCAACCTCATAGGGACTGGTCTGAAGGTGGCTGAGACAACCAAGTGGACCTCACAGGGCAACTATGTCTCTGTCAAAGTCCACAGGTCAGAGGTAAGGAGGACTCTAGGATTCTGGTGTTCTGAATAACTGTACTCTAAACCCTCCTATCATCTGAATTGCCACCTGTTATATTTCTAGTCTGATTCATTAAAATGAATTTCTAGTAGCATTAATAAAATCCTATTTCTTTATGGAAAGTTCCTCTGTCCTGTCCCACTCCATTTCATTCTCATTTCTCCCTCTGTCTGTAGGATGGAGCAAGAATCTATGGTCGCTGTGGTGGGTTCTGTGGGAAGTGCATTCCCCAGCCTCACAACGGCCTGCTGGTTCAGGTCCAGTGAGGGTCAAGGACCAAACCCCAACCAACCATCTCCCAACGGTCTCCCAACGGTCTCCCAACGTCAGACCAAGAAGTGAAACACAGACACAAGACCAGAGCTTCTGGGGATCCAATGCACTTAATTTGTGAATGTTGCCGTCCGCTCCTCCCTTCATCACTGGGGTTTAATGGCGGGAACCCGGTTACCAAGATTTACTGCCAAAAACCACTCCCTTTTTCCGGGATAAATACAGTGGGGAAAAAAAGTATTTAGTCAGCCACCAATTGTGCAAGTTCTCCCACTTAAAAATATGAGAGAGGCCTGTAATTTTCATCATAGGTACACGTCAACTATGACAGACAAATTGAGGAAAAGAATTCCAGAAAATCACATTGTAGGATTTTTTATGAATTTATTTGCAAATTATGGTGGAAAATAAGTATTTGGTCACCTACAAACAAGCAACATTTCTGGCTCTCACAGACCTGTAACTTCTTCTTTAAGAGGCTCCTCTGTCCTCCACTCGTTACCTGTATTAATGGCACCTGTTTAAACTTGTTATCAGTATAAAAGACACCTGTCCACAACCTCAAACAGTCACACTCCAAACTCCACTATGGCCAAGACCAAAGAGCTTGTCAAAGGACACCAGAAACAAAATGGTAGACCTGCACTAGGCTGGGAAGACTGAATCTGCAATAGGTAAGCAGCTTGGTTTGAAGAAATCAACTGTGGGAGCAATTATTAGGAAATGGAAGACATACAAGACCACTGATAATCTCCCTCGATCTGGGGCTCCACGCAAGATCTCACCCCGTGGGGTCAAAATGATCACAAGAACGGTGAGCAAAAATCCCAGAACCACACGGGGGGACCTAGTGAATGACCTGCAGAGAGCTGGGACCAAAGTAACAAAGCCTACCATCAGTAACACACTACGCCGCCAGGGACTCAAATCCTGCAGTGCCAGACGTGTCCCCCTGCTTAAGCCAGTACATGTCCAGGCCCGTCTGAAGTTTGCTATGATCCAGAAGAGGATTGGGAGAATGTCATATGGTCAGATGGTCAGATGAAACCAAAATATAACTTTTTGGTAAAAACTCAACTCGTTGTGTTTGGAGGACAAAGAATGCTGAGTTGCATCCAAAGAACACCATACCTACTGTGAAGCATGGGGGTGGAAACATCATGCTTTGGGGCTGTTTTTCTGTAAAGGGACCAGGACGACTGATCCGTGTAAAGGAAAGAATGAATGGGGCCATGTATCGTGACATTTTGAGTGAAAACCTCCTTCCATCAGCAAGGGCATTGAAGATGAAACGTGGCTGGGTCTTTCAGCATGACAATGATCCCAAACACACCGCCCGGGCAACGAAGGAGTGGCTTCGTAAGAAGCATTTCAAGGTCCTGGAGTGGCCTAGCCAGTCTCCAGATCTCAACCCCATAGAAAATCTTTGGAGGGAGTTGAAAGTCCGTGTTGCCCAGCGACAGCCCCAAAACATCACTGCTCTAGAGGAGATCTGCATGGAGGAATGGGCCAAAATACCAGCAACAGTGTGTAAAACCTTGTGAAGACTTACAGAAAACGTTTGACCTGTGTCATTGCCAACAAAGGGTATATAACAAAGTATTGAGAAACTTTTGTTATTGACCAAATACTTATTTTCCACCATAATTTGCAAATAAATTCATAAAAAATCCTACAATGTGATTTTCTGGATTTTTTTTTCTCATTTTGTCTGTCATAGTTGACGTGTACCTATGACGAAAATTACAGGCCTCTCTCATCTTTTTAAGTGGGAGAACATGCACAATTGGTGGCTGACTAAATACTTTTTTCCCCCACTGTAACTGTGAGAAACCGGTAAATTATAATACATTATTTATATCAACAGCATGACGTGAAATGGAACTGTTAAATTATATGCGATATGGCTTCTCTACGGCCTTCTCTCTGCATGATCAATCATCAACGCTCATGGTGGGGACAGACAGCCCATCTCAGTATGGAGTTCATTTCACAATGCATGTAGACCTATCATCTCATCATGGTAACTTTTTTTCTTGTGACAGGTAGGCCTACATTTGCTGCAGCGTAGCCTATGCTACAGTAATATAAGGACCGACTGCGCGTCTAATTTACTCATCCCCATCGGGCTTTCGGGGGTAACCATGTTTTTTTTATTGCAGCTGCAGAGTTTTAAAACAGCCTATCATACGAATATCGTTGCTTTAAATCCAAGCATGCACGAGCAGTCAATCTCCATCAATACCATTCAAATAGCATCCAAAATAAATAATCCTGTTCAAGAGATATATATATATACATACAGTTGAAGTCGGAAGTTTACATACACCTTAGCCAAATACATTCCTGACATTTAATTCTAGTAAAAATTCCGTCTTAGGTCAGTTAGGATCACCACTTTATTTTAAGAATGTGAAATGTCAGAATAATAGTAGAGAGAATGATTTATTTCAGCTTTTTATTTATTTCATCACATTCCCAGTGGGTCATAAGTTTACATACACTCAATTAGAATTTTGTAGCATTGCCTTTAAATTGTTTAACTTGGGTCAAACGTTTCGGGTAGCCTTCCACAAGCTTCCCACAATAAGTTGGTTGAATTTTGGCCCATTCCTCCTGACAGAGCTGGTGTAACTGAGTCAGGTTTGTAGGCCTACTTGCTCGCACACGCTTTTTCAGTTCTGCCAACAAATGTTCTATAGGATTGAGGTCAGGGCTTTGTGATGGCCACTCCAATACCTTGACTGTGTTGTCCTTAAGCCATTTTGCCACAACTTTGGAAGTATGCTTGGGGTCATTGTCCATTTGGAAGACCCATTTGCGACCAAGCTTTAGCTTCCTGACTGATGTCTTGAGATGTTGCTTCAATATATCCACATAATTTTCCTTCCTCATGATGCCATGTATTTTGTGAAGTGCACCAGTCCCTCCTGCAGCAAAGCACCCACACAGCATGATGCTGCCACCCCCGTGCTTCACAGTTGGGATGGTGTTCTTCGGCTTGCAAGCAACCCCCTTTTTCCTCCAAACATAACGATGGTAATTATGGCCAAAAAGTTATATTTTTGTTTAATCAGACCAGAGGACATTTCTCCAAAAAGTACGATCTTTGGCCCCATGTGCATTTGCAAACCGTAATCTGGTTTTTTTATAGAGGTTTTGGAGCAGTGGCTTCTTCCTCGCTGAGCGGCCTTTCAGGTTATGTCGATATAGGACTCGTTTTACTGTGGATATAGATACTTTTGTGCCTGTTTCCTCCAGCATCTTCACAAGGTCCTTTGCTGTTGTTCTGGGATTGATTTGCACTTTTCGCACCAAAGTACGTTCATCTCTAGGAGACAGAACGCATCTCCTTCCTGAGCGGTGTGACGGCTGCATGGTCCCATGGTGTTTATACTTGCGTATTATTGTTTGTACAGATGAACGTGGTACCTTCAGGCGTTTGGAAATTGCTCCCAAGGATGAACCAGACTTGTGGAGGTCTATTTTTTTCTGAGGTCTTGGCTGTTTTCTTTTCATTTTCCCATGATGTCAAGCAAAGAGGCACTACGTTTGAAGGTAGGCCTTGAAATACATCCACAGATATACCTCCAATTGACTCAAATTATGTCAATTAGCCTATCAGAAGCTTCTAAAGCCATGACATCATTTTCTGGAATTTTCCAAGCTGTTTAAAGGCAAAGTCAACTTAGTGTATGTAAACTTCTGACCCACTAGAATTGTGATACAGTGAATTATAAGTGAAATAATCTGTCTGTAAACAATTGTTGGAAAAATTACTTGTGTCATGCACAAAGTAGATGTCCTAACCGACTTGCCAAAACTATAGTTTGCTAACAAGAAATTTGTGGAGTGGTTGAAAAACAAGTTTTAATGACTCCAACCTAAGTGTATGTAAACTTCCGACTTCAACTGTGTATATACACTGCTCAAAAAAATAAAGGGAACACTAAAATAACACATCCTAGATCTGAATGAATGAAATAATCTTATTAAATACTTTTTTCTTTACATAGTTGAATGTGCTGGCAACAAAATCACACAAAAATTATCAACGGAAATCAAATGTATCAACCCATGGAGGTCTGGATTTGGAGTCACACTCAAAATTAAAGTGGAAAACCACACTACAGGCTGATCCAACTTTGATGTAATGTCCTTAAAACAAGTCAAAGTGAGGCTCAGTAGTGTGTGTGGCCTCCACGTGCCTGTATGACCTCCCTACAACGCCTGGGCATGCTCCTGATGAGGTGGCGGATGGTCTCCTGAGGGATCTCCTCCCAGACCTGGACTAAAGCATCCGCCAACTCCTGGACAGTCTGTGGTGCAACGTGGCGTTGGTGGATGGAGCGAGACATGATGTCCCAGATGTGCTCAATTGGATTCAGGTCTGGGGAACGGGCGGGCCAGTCCATAGCATCAATGCCTTCCTCTTGGAGGAACTGTTGACACACTCCAGCCACATGAGGTCTAGCATTGTCTTGCATTAGGAGGAACCCAGGGCAAACCGCACCAGCATATGGTCTCACAAGGGGTCTGAGGATCTCATCTCGGTGCCTAATGGCAGTCAGGCTACCTCTGGCGAGCACATGGAGGGCTGTGCGGCCCCCAAAGAAATGCCACCCCACACCATGACTGACCCACCGCCAAACCGGTCATGCTGGAGGATGTTGCAGGCGGCAGAACGTTCTCCACGGCGTCTCCAGACTCTGTCACGTCTGTCACATGTGCTCAGTGTGAACCTGCTTTCATCTGTGAAGAACACAGGGCGCCAGTGGCGAATTTGCCAATCTTGGTGTTCTCTGGCAAATGCCAAACGTCCTGCACGGTGTTGGGCTGTAAGCACAACCCCCACCTGTGGACGTTGGGCCCTCATACCACCCTCATGGAGTCTGTTTCTGACCGTTTGAGCAGACACATGCACATTTGTGGCCTGCTGGAGGTCATTTTGCAGGGCTCTGGCAGTGCTCCTCCTGCTCCTCCTTGC